CACACACACACACACACACACACACACAAGCGCGATCGTAATAACAATGTAGGTTTATATGTGCGTGCATACATACCTGTGTGTGTGTGTGTGTGTGTGCTTATATAACGTCTTGTGTAGACTTATATGCGCGCACAGGTGTAGGGGGAGGCAAAGAAGAAACGAGACCGCATACCAAACCCGCGCTCGGTCCGGCATACTAATGATTTACCTACTATAGGTATGCGCCATCATCCCTCCTCCTCCTCCTCCTCCTCTCCCATCGCTGCGTTATTAAAATAATAATAATAAAAAGAAAACGACACCGCTCGATTATACTCTTACATACGTACACACACACACACACATACATATGATACGTAAATCGTATATACGATTTTTCTAGGTCCATTATGAAAATAACGATAAGATAATATATATATATATTAAAGCGTGTCTACAAAGTAAACGCTCGAATACTATTATTATAATAATAGCCAATAGGCATGACGTATATATACCCTATACACAACACACGAGACGGTAAAGTTTGACCCGAACTATTATGACGTGCTCTCTGTATATGTGTGTGCGTGTGTTAACACGTTGAAACGTACACGGACTAGTGGTCCTGTGTAATATCAATATTGTAGACGACGACTTTCGTATTTTGATCGTTTCGATTTTTGATTTTCCACAGCAGCCCGACGACAAGTGATGCTCGAGTCGGCCAGCATAGCGTCGGGGGTCAGCGTGGCGGTACTTTTGGTGTTCATAATCTGCACCACGTTTTACGTCAGGTCCAAGAGACAGCGGAAACTCAAGTTGAACGCAGCCGACGTCTCGTAAGTTACACGGCCGACCGCTGTGTTGTCGCGCTTATAATATTATAATATCTCAACAATTATTGACATGATATAATATATTGTTGTTGTATACGCACAACAGTATCGTCTGAATTCGTGCTTGATTTTTTTTTTTCATCTTGTTCACAGAATGGTAGACGGCAACTGGACGGACGCGGAAAAGCGGCCGTTCTCGTATCGTCCCAAGCACACGATCATCACAATTCCTCTGAAGACAGTAATCACAGTGAGTGTATATTGCATAAATATATATATTATTGTGGGGTATATAGGTACACCTCTAACTTCTAAGTATAATACTACGAGCCCGGTATTCTATTGGACGAAAACGGATTATTTTTTTTTACGAATATAAAACCCACGCGCTTATTTTATTTTCCGTTTTTCGGTTTTAATCATTTAGGTCGTCGTCGACGATTATTGTTGCTGCACACGTGAATACATAATAATATAAATGCCGCCGCCGCATCTCGTTTAATTAAAAAAAAAAAAAAAAGGAAACGCTAATAATAATGATAATAATAATAATAATAATAATAATAATACACTATGTGCGCCTTAAAGCCCAACATATAATAATAATAATAATATATACTCACACAACCACCACTGTATAGTTTGTCCAAATATGGTGCAGGCGGGTATGCTAAACAGCACAGGACACACACACACATGTTAAACGTATACATATATAGACGAGTCGGATGCGAATTTGATCTATACGTTAATATATAGTTTTTTACGATCTTTTTATATGCTCGTCGTCGGCGTTCTATTCTTTACGAAGAAAGAAAATATATGTACGGCGGCGGCGCGTATAAAACTATATACTCATTGAAACCTTTTTTTTTTTTATAACGTCGGGAGGGAAAGAAAACATCGTGTGCGTATACATTATCATTGTTATTATAACTATATTATATCCTCTACCGTGGTAATTTAAGTACAAATCGTGGGCGAAATCATTGTAATTGAGACGTGAGGTTGGTTATAATATATTATGTTAATGTCCGAGTTATAAAAAAAAAAAAAAAACACAGACGCGCGTTTATTATAAACTTACTACTACTATTACTACTACTACGACGACGACAGTATATAATATGGGAAACGATATTGTTAAAAAATGTTGTATAGGTACTTAAGATAAAAATAAAATACGATTTTTACGTTTGTTTTTTTTTCCCCCGCAGGAACAGTCGACGCGATCCTCCGGCGACGGCCGCCGCCCCGAAGAGAGTTCGCGACGAGAACCTTTGATCGTATGAGACGACTGCAGCTAATTCCAAAGTTATTATATGTTCAGCGCGGGTATCCTTGCGAGGACGACAAATGACGATTTTTTTTTCACGGGGAGATCAATAATATAATAATATTTTGGTGTCGAGCTGGACGCCGCACAACACGCCTCGGATACCACTATACACACACGGCGGCACAACAGTCGGTCAGCAGCAGCAGCAGCAGCAGCAGACACGCGAAATATGATCACGACACGAACACACACACGCCCACACACATGATAATGTCTCAACGTCACGTCCCGAGAGCCCAACGCCGAATATATTATACACACACACACACACGCGTGCGCGAAATAAAATTTGGAATTGAAAAAAATTTAATGATCAAAATCGAATGTAATAAAATTTCAAAAAAAAAATTGTTTTTAAACGGACCGATTCAATCATACAGTAGTTGTGT